CCCACGCCGAGGCTGGACCCCGGCACAAACTGTCTCTCAAAAATCATGTAACCAAATAATCTCCCCAAAAGTAGTTAAGTTTCTAGGCAACAAAACAAATCCACCCACATCAATAATTAATTCATACTGTTCTATCTCATTTACATTTCAAACAACCAATTAGTTCCCACCAGCTGTATATAACTCACCATTTCTCCTCAATAAACAAAAATAAACAAAAAAACCCAACTTAGTCAACACCTAATATTGTGTGTGTGTGTGTTTGTCCCATCTCTCACTCCCTCCCCCAAAAAACCTATTCGACTGTCCTGCAAGTCGGGACACAGCAACATAGCCATTACACCATCTGCTGGTCCCCCAAGTTGCTTTCTTTAACCATGCCTAATTTGAATAATCTAAATCTGACTTTTGACTCAAAATCACATCAACAGAGTACTACTTGACAACACAAAAACTTCTCCAAACAAAAATGTTTTTTTAAGATGCTACTATATTCAACCTGGCAAGGAAGGTCCATCCACCTCCTCTAATAATCTAGAGAAGAGGCTGCCCGCCTGCCCGCCCCTCCTTCTCCTCCCAGTGCACACAGCCCGGGACCTGCCACCCCAGCCTCAGCCGCAGGCACTATGGCTTCTGGAGTTACAGTGAATGATGAAGTCATCAAAATTTTTAATGATATGAAAGTAAGTAAATCTTCTACACAAGAGGAGATCAAAAAAGAAAGAAAGCTGTTCTCTTCTATTTAAGCAATGATAACAGACAAATAATTGTAGAGGAAGCAAAGCAGATCTTGGTGCTTGCCCCCCGGCTGTCAGGCCGGGCCCTACGGCCCTTCGGGTTTCTGGGGTGGGAGAAAGCCCCGGCGCGGGTGTGGGTTCGGGGTCGGAGTCGGGGCGCCGGAGGGTCGGCAGAGCGCAGCCCCGCGCGCGCCGCGTTTGATCTTTGCCTGCTAATTTTAGTCCGCACGCGCGCTCCGCGGTGGTACGTGCTCCCCGGGCCTTGGGTCGGGGTCTGCGTGGCCTGTAGTAAGAGCCTGAGGGGAAGAAGAACGAAGTGGGAAAACTCTGTTAAAAATGCTTTCTCGCGGTAAAAAGCTTTTACGCTCAACCCGTTAGTTTTGAAGTGTCTGCATTTGAGCCGTGGGCGAATATGTGGTAGCCGTGGGCGGTTTGGAGTTTACACTTGGGTTTTTTTCCTTATGAGGAAACGTGGCAAGGATGACTTTAAAGAAAAAAAAAAATAGTAGAAGCATTGACTGAAATCCCAAAGTGTTTTTTTAAGGCCTGCAGAGTTGACACAATACAGAAGGTATTTATGCTGCAGCTCCCGAAGCTCTGACATCACCCAGTGAAATAGGAAACATTTCAGGGATGGGACAACTTGTATTTGTCCCTTTCTCTCTACCTTCCTCTTGCTTCAACCTCCAGACCCCCTTAGGCAGGATGAATTGGAATCCTTAGTTGTATTAAGTCCTGATACTGAAAATGTGACAAATCTATCTGGACTGCTTACATGGTACAGTGCAATTTCTGTTGTTCAGACTAAAATGAATCCTTTTTAGGCAAACAGCTTTGGTTAAAACCAAATTACTTGTTCTGAATTATTGTTCTTTATTTTCAGGCTTCTGGAGTTACAGTGAATGATGAAGTCATCAAAGTTTTTAATGATATGAAAGTAAGGAAATCTTCTACACAAGAGGAGATCAAAAAAAGAAAGAAAGCTGTTCTCTTCTGTTTAAGCGATGATAAAAGACAAATAATTGTAGAGGAAGCAAAGCAGATCTTGGTGGGTGACATTGGTGATACTGTAGAGGACCCCTACACATCTTTTGTGAAGTTGCTACCTCTGAATGATTGCCGATATGCTTTGTACGATGCCACATACGAAACAAAAGAGTCTAAGAAAGAAGACCTAGTATTTATATTCTGGTGTGTAAAAATGAAAGAAAAAAGTACTTTTAAAATGCAAGGATTGTTATCATAAGTCAGTCTTACCTTTGTTTTTCTTATAAGGGATTCAGCAATTTTTTTTTCTCACTTCCAGGGCTCCTGAAAGTGCACCTTTAAAAAGCAAGATGATTTATGCTAGCTCTAAAGATGCCATTAAAAAGAAATTTACAGGTACAAATATTAAATACTTTGTGTAGAGAAATTACTTTCTTAATTATGATAAGATGATGAGACAATTTTTTTTTTTTTTTT